AGGGGAATTAACTTAGTCCAACAAGGTGCACCTGAATGAAAAAGGGTTTCCTTTTTCTTCTTTAAGTGATTAGTCTACCAGCTGTCCCCAGCACCTTCCCGCTCTCCCTAGCCCGCAGTCTGCAGGGAGGGAGAGAATGCCAAGCAAGCTAAGGGAAAAACAAATAGAGCATTTAAAAGCTTTATCTAATTACCCCCACTGAGACTTTTTCTCTTCAGTCTGGCTGTCTGACAAAGCCAGCGAGGGTTTTCATTCTCGGGGCCAGCCTTCCCCACCCCGCAGCCCGCAGGTGAATCCTGCCGGGGAGCCTCGGGGGGCCCCCAGTCCCAGGACCTCACAGCTTTCCAAGCTCCGTGAGGCTCACTGGCTAGATCAGTCTTCCCCTCTCTCCGCCTGCTTTTGTCTTCCGGCACCTTTGCCGATGCCCAGGCGGCCCCCTCCTGCCCAAGGCCCAGGGCATCCTGCAGTTTTTAGGTCAATCTGGGCCAGCGTCCGCAGGAGAAGCACCCCCCGCCGCCCTGCCCCCAAACACATACACCTTTATCTTTCACCTTGGCAGCAAGGCAAACATGAGCACACCCTTCTACGGCAGAGGGGAAATTAAAAACAAGTGATGCACTTCGGAAGGCACAGCGGCTGCTCCCCTCTGGGCTCCCAGGGTACACTTCTCACCTCTGATTCACCAGCCCCTCCTCCGCCCTCAGGCGTGGGAATCACTCCTTGACCTCTGCTTTTTTCAAGAGGGCCACGGAGTTCTACTTTAAAGAAAAAAAAAATCACTTTCTAAATCTGTGAGGAAATTCATTCACCAACGTGTAAGTTATGATGCTTGGGTGCTAAAAAAAAAAAAAAAAAGAAAGAAAAAGAAAATTCAGGTGTGGCCTGTTCAGTAGGTCAGAGGGCCACACGTGGCCCCACATGGGACCCCCACTCAACTCAGCTTCCAAGGTCATCTCAGACACAAACTTGCAGGTGTTCCTGCAATGCTTTTCCCTCCCAAAGATACCGTGAGCCCCAGGCAATTCTTTTTGGAAAGGTGTCTATGAACTAGGCTCAATCAATTGCTTCAAACTAGGTGGGCGAGAGGGGAAGGCGGCTGGGAGGAGGGGTTCACCCACAGACGTCTGTGGGTGCCATATTGCACCTGCAAGCCACCGTGTGCAGCCCATAAACCCGCTGAAACCAAAACCTTACTAATCAGTGGCATAAACTGATATTACACCATGTATACCTCCGAGGGTCAAGCCAACAAGAAGCTGGCCCAGATAAACTGCCATCTGACACCACGGGTCGGCAAAGACCCCGCCAGACAGACAGATGATTTAAGCATAATCACATAAGCAAAGCAAACTTCTAACTATCTACCTCCTTAGGTCAAAGGGCACTGGGGATTCTGAAAATTAATTAAGCCCAGTAAATAACGTAAAACAGGGAGGGGAGTCTCTGAAAACGCGCCGGTTAATTTTAGCATCCTTCTGTTTAGCTGCTTAGCAACACTTATCCAATGACCCTCTAAGCACCACCTACTTTTCAGAAGGGTAATGAATAGAAACATCAAAAGGATTCACCTCTCCCTAGACAGCATATTTAACCCATTTTTGGTAGAAAACAAATGAATTAACTACACTATGCAAAACTCAAAAAAAAAAAAAAGCGGGAGGGGGTAGTTTAGGAAAAAACAAAAAACAAAACACACTTGACCAAGCAGGAATTTCCTTAGTTGAAAGCAGTTTAAGTGATGTTCGCGACACAGCAAGAGCAGCAAGCAAAGCTCGCCTCACTGACCTAGGAAGTGGACCTGCATACGGCTTCAAAACTCTAGAGCAAAAGCGGAAGCCAGCCAGGGTAGACGAAGGCAGTTAGCTGGTGCCAGGGGTCCGGCGGGCACACCTGGGGAAGCTGCTGGGGAGCTGTGGGGCCGTGGAAGGGGGCGGCTTCCCTGCCAGCTGCTTGGGAAGTCCACGAGGGACATCCACGGGGCGGGCCAGGCACCTCCCCCACCAGCCGACTCAGGCAGTCGGAATATCTGATGCAAAATACACCAAATCCTCTTTAAAAACAAAACGCCCTAAAACACAACTGGCCAAGCAGTTTTAAGAACAGTGAGGAGGTCTAAGTCCACTCACCTAAAAGGCAGTGCCAGCCCCGCAAATATCGCAAAGACACCCCTTTCTCCCTTTCTTTTGTAAAAGGTGGGAAGCTATTTTCTTCACACATTTAAAAACGTGATTAAAGCCATTCAAATGTTTAATTCATCAGTGTAACCAAAGCTCAAAAAAGCACATCAAAGCAGGCAGGGCCCGGCAGGTACCAGAGGCGCTCCCCAAAGGGCAAAGGGGAAAAAACAATAGAAAACATCCCCTTAAAAAAAAAAAAAAGTAGTCAACTTTCACTGTCAATTATTTGAGGAGTACTCCCAACCCATCCTTAAGATGTTCTGTCAACTCTTGGAGAAAGTACAAAACTGTTAAAAAAAAAAAAAAAAAAAAAGAAGGAAATCACACAAAAGGTATTTTTGCGAAGCCCTCGGCCCTACCTCAGACTTGGAGTTAAACTTTGCCTTGGAAACCAGCCCTGCCTTCTCCCCGAGCACCCAGCCTATAGGATGCTCTCTGCACACGGGTTTCCAGCAAGCCAGCCAACAAAACAAAAAACACAAACAAGAAATCCCTTTCCGTGTACTTCTCTCCCTACACCTTCCACTCGGAACCGGCTTCTTTCACAACCCACGTGAACGCACACTGGAGAACTCCACCCCACCTACACGCTAGCCTGGGGGGACCTTCCCAACGTAGGGATGCTTCTGCGAAATCGCAGCTCCCTACACTGCCAGCCACGCAGGCAGGCCTCCTCTTCACTGGGGTTTGCAACGGCCACGCTTCCAAGAAGAGGAACGAGGCTTCCTATTCCTGCAGATGAAAAAAAAAAAAAAAAGCCAGCCACGAGCAAGTTTTGCAGAACCCTGCGGGGCGGTGCTTTTCCCTTCTCCCCGAGGCTCCCTCTGCACCACCGTGGGCACCTCCCGGACGGCCGCAGCATCTCCGAGCCCTGGGCAGGCAGGACCCCCTCTGGGGCGCCCCGAACGCGCGCCGCCGCCGCTGGCTCCGGAGCCGTGTAGAATTTCGTAATGGAATGTGAACTGCTCGTCCGGATCTGGGCTCACGTTCTATCTCCTAACCAGTAAGAAGCGAGGGAGGGCAAATGTGCTGAGCAAGGAGAAATAACTTTTTTTTTTCCTCCTCTTTTTTAGAACCCATCACCGATGCCCGCGGCCGGGCGAGCTGCGCGCCGCTCCTGTCAAGCGCTGCCCGCCCCAGACCCCCAAGGCACCCCCCAAGACCCCAACTCTGCGTCCGAGCGCAGCACTCACGCGTGCCCGGAGTGGGGGTGCAGGTGGGGGAGGAGCCGGTCCTCGACGCGCCCCAGGGCCCCGTCCGGAGTTGGGGGGGGAGGAAAAGAAAACCTCTCTGCTTCCCAGGGAGGGGGCCGGCGGCGACGGGAAGGACCTCCCCTGCTCCTTAGCAACCATTAAGGTCGCAGTCTCCTAAGAGACCGCGAGCGGGGAGGGGGCGCGGGGGGCCGGCCCGAAGCTGGGGTTGGCCCAGCGGCGGAGCATCGTCCCCTCCCCACCCCTCCTCCCCACCAGCCTCGCTGGACCCGGGATGCTGGGGAAGCAAAGAAGGGAAACCCCAGTACTCGGAGAGAGAGAGAGAAAAAAAAAATTGGTCCAGCGGCCGGCGGACAAAAGTTTCCGAGCGCGCTCCACAGCTGGGCGGCGGAGAGGGCCCCGGCGGCGGCCGGCCCCGCCTCGGATGCTCCCGGCCTCCTTCCTGTGCCCGTGACGGTGCCGGCGCCCTGCCCCCCGCGATGCCGGCGCTCTCCACGCCGGGGGCTCCCACGACACACACACCCCGAGCCCAAGGACGAGGCGACCACACGCGCCCGCCGCGGCCCCCCACATCCCGCCCTCAGCGCTCCGGGGCGCACGGTGCAACGTGCCGGAGGGGGGGGGGACAGAGATCGGCGTGACCCCCCCACACACACATCGCGAGCCCAGGAGCGCGGGGGGCCGAACGCGCGGGCCCCACCACCCCCAGCCCCCGCCTCCGGGCCGGCGCCGTCCGCCAGGGAGGATCAAAGTCCGCAGAGCCAAGGGAGGGCGCGGCGGATGCTCCCACCGGGCAGCCCCCCGCGCCGGCACCCCAAGCGGGGCACCCCCGCCCGCTCGTCGCTCTCCCTCCCGGATACCTTGCGGCGGCGGCGGCGAGCGAGCGGGCGCCGTCATCTCCCTGCTTCCCGGCCCGAGAGGGACTCGAAAGTATGTAGGAGAAAAGTTTCCCCTCCCACATGGGGAGGGAGGGGGAGGGAGGATGTCGGGGGAAGAGAGGGCGGAAGATGGAGAGCAAGGGCTGGGAAGATGTTGCTGGCCCCCGGGGTGCGTGCACCATCCGAGTCCCGGGCGGTGCTGGTTAAAAATAAACTCGGCGGCGCGGGCCGGGCCGGATTCCTGCGCTCGGACGGCTAAGATGGATGCGCATCAGGTCCCCGCGGTGGCGGGGCGCTGCGGCGGCTCGCGCTGGGAGCTGGTGGGCAGAGCCGGCGGCTCGGGAAGAGGGGGGAAAAGGAGCGGAGGAAGGGGAGGAGGAGCGGCCGCAGCAGCCGGCGCGCAGCCCGAGGGGAGACAGGGCTACCCGGCTCGCTCATCACCAGCCAGCCCCTCTCCGCCCCGAGCGCACGCTGCGCGCGCGGGCCATGGAGTGTACACGCGGACCCTCGTTACCTCAGGGGCACGCCGAACAAATTTCCAAAAAAGAAAGGGAAAGAGACAGACGACGCGCTCTGCACACTTGGGCCCTTTCCCCATCCCTAAAAAAGTTCTCATTAAAAAAGAAAAAAAGTCGGTCTCCGGCTGTAGCTCGGACGCATCTCGTCGGCTTGCCACCCCAAGTCCCCCAGCCCCCACCCCGCGCCAGCCGAACCCCCGGGGCGCGCGTACTTACGGCCGAGCAGAGGGCACTCCGGGCTCGCAGGCATGGTGCGGGGCGGCGTTGTTTGTATGGGGGGGAATGAGGCTGGCGAGGACCCGCGGACTTGGCTGGGAGGCGAGGAAGAGGAGAGATGCAAACTTGTTCCGGAAAAGGAATCAAAATGGCGTTTCTGGATGTGCAAAGTTCATCAACTCCGCAGTCACTTCCCCTCCTCCTCCTCCTCCTCCTCCTCTCCCTCAGAGAGGGCGGTGGGCGAGGAGCTGGCGACCCCGGCGCGCCCCCAGCCCGTCGTCCCGGCCCCCCGCCCCGCGTCCTCGCCCGCACGCTCCGAAGCTCGCTCTCCCCCTCTCACCCTGATAAGTAGACACATCACGTGTTGCTCCTGCGAGAGTCTCCTGGGGACGTGTTACAAGAGCGGCGGCGGCTCCGCGGGCGGGGGAGGGGTGGGGCGGAGGAGGACCGGGGTACCCGCCGGGCTCCCCCGCCGCCCCCGCCCCAGCAGCGCGGCGGCGCGATGCCCATCCCGGAGCCGATGGAGATGAGGTGTCCCCCCTCCCTCAGACTGACGCCCCGCCACGCCGCAGCCCACCCAGCTTCGCCTTGCGCCCTCGGGGGCGCTCAGGGCCGGAGACAGGATTTCGGTGGCCGCGGCTGTGCGCGACCCCCCAGGCCACCTTCTCGGGCCACCGCCCCCCACCCCACTGCAGCCCTCATCACTTCACTCGGGGTTTGTTTCACTCTTGGAGGAAGGTGCCTCGGAGGCCCTGATGTGTGTTTGGGGACGTGAGGATAGTTGGGGCGGTGGGGGGGGGGGCGGTGTCCCAGGCTGGCGCCGGCCCCCGCGAGCCAGAGGGCGGACGGGGGTCGCCATGGGCCCGCGCGTTGTCGCGGCACGCGGTCCACGCGCCGCATCCAGGTGGGGCGCATCGAGAGAGGATGAGGCTGGAGAGTCGGACGCTCCACCCCGCCCCCACCCGGAGCTGTTTGCTCCTTCGCGGCTGCTGGGATGGGGGGTGAGGATCACTGCCCCACCGCGCGCGCGTGTGTCAGCTGAGCGCCGAAGCGACCCGGGTAGCCGTCCCTCGGCCTGCACCCGACCGCAGACAGGATGCTTCCTCCGCGAGGCCGGCCGGGTCTGTGCGCCAGGGGCCCGGGGCTGGCCGAGGCGCCCCAGCACGGTCGCCGCCGCGTCCCCCCAACCCCACCAGGGAACTGGCTGATGCTGTGTCATGGACGTTGCCGCCCGGCCCTCGGGGAAGCCACATACAATATCTCCTTCTCTCAGAGGGCTCCTGTTTCAATGCTGAGGAGCTGGGCGGCAGGGGTGGGGGAAGGGGGACTGGGCCCAAGTTATCACCCCCAGCCCAGAGAAGCCAGGCCTGGGGGTAGGGTGGGGGTCCTGCTTCCTCCCGTGCAGGGAGCTGATGTCTTTCCAACTGTTCTGAAAGGCGGCCTTTGGAAACATCTGAGAGATAAGGGTGATTGTGGTTGCTGAAAGCAAACACCATGCTCAAGCCAAATTCTAAGCGTATGGCAGGGCCGATGTGGGCCCGAGGCACCCTCTGCCTTGACTGTGACCTTTGACTCGGGCCACACCCCACTCTGGGTGGGGTGAGAGACCGTTGGCCATGCTACCAGGTCGTAAGCTCCATCCATCACCGAGCCTTTCCTTTGTAAGAGGCGTGCCATCCAGCCCCCCGCCCCCCAGTGCCCACAATAGTCTGGGTTTATGTCTGGCCAAAGTCAGGAGCCAGCAACTCCATCCAGGGCTCCCACCTGGTGGGGCAGTCCCCGGCAGGTGCCCCAGCTTGGAGGCCAAGAGGAGCTGTCTCCCAGCACCCTGGGTGGGCGGTCGGGTGCCCACTCCTGTCATGGGCCATGCCGTGAACCTCACGGGTGGGGGCTGGCCGAGAAAGAGCTCTCCAAAGCTGGGAGCAGCGGGAGCGTTCTGGAGCAGCAGGATTAGCACCCAAGGGGAACTGGCAGCTGGCTGTGACGCTATCCCCGTCATCAAAATGAAGTTTTCATAACCTGTTCTGTTTCCCAGGGCTGGCTGTTGACTGAGAAAAACTTGCTCCAGGGACACATTAGCAGGTGCATTTTTTGAAACCTCTCCCTGTCCCGGAATAAAAGCTCAAGTGCCGTGTTTTGTGGATTTTGTGGACTTTGTGGTAGAGAGCTCTGCCCAGCAGTGCTAGCTCACACAGGTGTCACAGCACAGGTTTGTCTCAGCTGGAACTGTCTCAGTTGGGATTTTACTTGTCATTTAGCTTATTCTTTATGTTATCCTCAACTGTCCAAAATTACACGATTTTCCATAACAGCATAACCTTTATAATGCCATCTAGAAGATAAAACTATAAGGAAAAAATTTATTAAGAATTTTTTTTTTCTTTAAAGAAAAGTGAACTCTGGGACCAGCACTGTGGCCTAGTGAATTGAGCCACCACCGTGATGCAGGCTGCTCCACTCCCAATCCAACCTCCTGCTGATGCTCCTGGGAAAGCAGCAGGCCCAAGTACATCCGCCTGGGAGACCCGGATGGAGTTCCAGGCTCCTGGCGTCAGTCCGGCCCAGCACCGGCTGTTGTAGCAATGCGGGGAGTAAGACAGCAGGGGGAAGATATTCTAACTCTGTCTTTCAAATAAATCAGTAAATTATTTTTTTTTCAGGTTGGACTCTAATGACACCAAGCCTGCATCTCATCTCTAACAGGTAGACTTGGAAGCCAGCACACGCCCGCTCAGCATCCATCCAGCAGATACTGCCGTGAGCATCTAAAACACCGAAGCAGTCGTGTCGTGTGAAGCCCCGTGAGTTGCCACTTCCGACTCATGCAGCTGGCTGTACTCCCGAGGACAGAAGGTAAGAGAGGAACGTACTCCGATCCTCCTGCTGCCAGTGCTGCCAGCGTGCACAGCGGCTGGGCAGTTCCTCCAGAGGCAGTACCCGTCTGAGGGTCCCATGCAAGGAGACACAAGAGATATTCACACAGAACATGCCCGTCAGCATTCATTTACAATCGCCAAAAAGTGCAAACCGCCCAGATGTGCACCGTGTCGGTACAAAGTGCTGGTAGTGTTACTGATTAGTGGAAAACCTTCAAAACATGCTAAGGACATACGTAAGACCTCAAAGGGCATCTGTGCAAAAATCCACAGTAGGTGAGTGGACGGTGACAGAAAGTCAGCTAATGGCTGCCTGGGGTGAGGGATGGGAAGGGAGCAAGGAACCAATGACTAATGTGGTAAGGGGTTTCTTTCAGAGGTGGTGAAAATGCTCTGAAATTGATAGTGGCAAGGTTTCATAACTCTAAAGTTTAAAAAAAAAAGATCCACTGGGGGCCAGCACTGTAGGGACCAAGTAGAGTTACCATCTGCAGGGCTGCAATCCCCTTTGCATGCCAGTTCATGCCCCAGCTGCCCCAGCTCTGTTCTAGCTCAGTGTTAACGGGCTGGAAGTAGCACCCCATCTGTCCCCCACGTGGGTTCTAGGGCTCCTGGCTGGGCCTTCTGGGGAGGGACCCGGGGTGGCACATAGTTCTGCTCTGCTCTCTTCCTGCCTTTAAGTGAAAATGCTTAAATAAGACAGCGGTGGGAGCCCGTGTGAAGTGGAAGGGTGATAACATGACACTGAGCCTCAGGTGAAAGAGCTCTGTGGTGGATGTGGCAGTCAGGGAAGGCTTCTGGGAGGAGATGACACCATGCCCGTGTCACACAGAGTGTGGGTGTCCCGGCAAGCCAAGAGGGGCTGTTAGACAACAGGGTCAGGTCTGAACTGCATGGGCCTCCCTCTGCAGCTGCAGCAGAGCGGGGAGCTGCAGCCGTACTGGGGGGTAAGAGGTCTCTGCCCCTTGCAGCTGATCTGGACTGAATCCTAGGGTGAGGCCATGCCAGGGCCTTCCTCGTGGTGCTTGGGGGGGGGGGGTGGCCTCAAGACAACACAGGGAGGACAGGGAAGATGGCCAGGGCTGCGGCGCACGTGAGGAGAAAGATGTGGCACGCCGCTGATGCGAGAGGCAGAGAGGGATGTGCTGGAGGGAGAGAGGCCGCGGATCAGCAGAGCCCCAGAAGGTGACACAGTTCCTTGATGGATGTGAGGCAGTGGTGCCTGCAGCGGTGGAGGGGCCCGGCAGGATCCACCGAGCTTGGCCCTTCCGTTGGCAGAGACTTGGGGAACCGGCTGGGGCAAGTGTGGGGGGGTGGCAGTGGGGATCCTCTCCCTCCCAGGGCAAAACAAAGAGCAGAATCATCTTGGGCCAGGACAATGGACAATGAGAACTGGCAGCTGAGCCCAGGGTGACACCTGCCCTGGGGCAGGAAGAATCAGGCAGGAGGCAGACAACAGGGTTAACATGGACAGCAGGCAAAGGGTTACGGAGTGAGAAGAGGAAGTGCTTAGCTCAGAGCACAGGTGCGAAGGGTGAGGCGAGAACACAGCAGCACGCAGGCGCTGTCTTGGAGGCCTGGGCAGGTGCTGTGATGCGCTCTGTGTTGCAGCCAGCAGAGCTGAGGCGGCCAGGGTGCTCAGCCGCCATCCCGACATCCCGCCTGCGAGCCAGATGCCCGGACAGGCACACCAGAAGCGTGATCCCAGAAGCCCACATAGCTTCCCTGTTGCTCATGGTGGTTCTGAGCCAGTGGAGAAATAGTTTACCAATTAAAAAAAAAATGCCTAATTATCTCAATGAATTGCAATAAAATGTTCTTGATTGGACTCCTGTGGAAGGGCCATGTGCTTCCATAGGACGTGATTGAACTGGGAAAGTGAATAAGTGTAGTTTCAGAATTGCTTGGTGTGTTTGGTAAGGATCCCTCATCCACAAGGCCATTAAGTAGAGACACCATCTCCCAGTATTATGGAATAATTTTTTTTTAATTTCTATTAATTTTCATGATATGGTTTTGTAGGTATAGAGACTTCCCCCTCCACCTCCATATGGAATAGACAATAAATATAGATACATAATAGAATAACTAATAATAATAACTACTTGAGGAGTCGATCCTGAAGCTGCAGCTGGCTATTTTGCGGCCTGAATTCCCATACATGACAAAGCCAAGGGTAGAGATGGCTCTAAGAGAATGCCCAGGAGGGACATCTCTGCCAGTGCTTCTTGGGCAGTTCTCATCCCCTGAGGTTGATGGGAACGGGCAGAGACATCTGGGCCTGTCACACGCCAGGTAACAGAGCATCCAGGTCGCACTGCTGCCTGACACACTGTGCAAGGACTGAGGTCCCAGGCC